CACCCACCCTCGCTTTCTGATAGCCCTGAAGTAGGGGGAAGGGTTCCGAACTGGGGGATCCCCCGCCCTCAATTTTGGACTGGCAACCCTACTTCATCAGCTGTTGAAGGGAGCTTTGACACTTGAAAAGCTCGTACTCCGAAAATCTTGTTGGCCTCTCAGATGCTTTTGGGCTCAAATCTGCCAAGGTGATTATGGGTATTAGCAGCATGAAGGGAGCTTGCTAAATTAGTGGCCTAGGCAGCCTTCCAGAGTATGCCTTTCTCTTTGTCCGGCTCCAGCTACTGAGAGAGAACCAGCGGCAGAGAAAAATAAAAAGGCAAAGACTAATTTGAGCGCGGCTGCCTGGCTCAGTAGTTCAGCCTCTGGCACAGCTCTGTACACAGCGTGGGCTGGCCCTGAAAGGGTATTGTGTAATCCGCGCCTCCCGGCAGTCCCAGAAGTTCCCTTCAGGGGGAAGCTGCAGCCAGAGATTCAGTCGGCGATAACTGGCAGGGTGCGTTGGCTGCCATTTTCCTCAGCCTTTGCTTTTCACCCGGCAGACGGCAGCTGTCAGTCACCGCTTTCCACAGGCAGCAGGGAGCCAGCCTCTCTGTTCTGTAGTGCTAAACGCTGAGGGAAGGAGAGGCGGGCCTGAACTGGCCGCCCCAAGATTGAGACTTTTATTTTGTGTGGTGTCTGAGGGTCACACGGCAAGTTATCACTGGGTGTGATGTAGTTTGCTATACCTGGTGCTCAAGGGACACCCAAAGACAAGCAAGGGTCCAGACATTTTGGGATAGATCCATGCTCTAGGCTTTAAGGCTTTGGGATAGATCCATGCTCTAGATGGTTGCCCTCTCTTCAGGAACCATCTTGCCAGCGACACACCTTTTTATTTTATTTATTCTTGCTTTTCGCCCCAGTGGGGACCCAGCTGTCAGACTTTTGGCCCAGCTGCCTTGTTGGGCAATATCCCACTTCCCAGTGGGAAGGTTGCCCTCTGTGGCTTTCATGAAACCAGTTTGGGTGAGAGCCAGTTTGGCGTAGTAGTTAGGAGCACGGACTCTAATCTGGGAGAACCGGGTTTGATTCCCCTCTCCTCCACATGTAGCTGCTGGTGTGACCTTGGATCAGTCACAAGTTCTCTCGGAGCTGTTCTCTCAAGCTGTTCTCTCAAGGGCAGTTCTCGAAAGTTGGTTGTGGGGAGGGAAAGGAGATTGTAAGCCGCTTTGAGATTCCGAGTGAAGGGTGGGGTATGAATCCAATCTCCTCTTCTCTTCTTCTTCTTCTTCAGTGCCTGCCTGTGAGGTGTAGTCTGTGAGGGGCCCACTGAGTTTCTGTGAGGGAACTCTCTCTTCTCTATAACATCTGTGATTGGTGGCAGCTCCCCCTCCACTGGACGGAGAGGTGGCCAGAGCCATCGAGGAAGGGACTGTGGTCACTTTGAAGGGTTATGGAGACAGCAAAGTAATGTGAGGTGTTTTTACATTTTGGTCGGGTCTCCATTGTTTCATTGAGGGGCAGAGGGAATCTTTGCCGGTGGGGGGGGGACACCGATAATGGTTCTAGGGCTTGGTTATGGCCCGGCCATGCCAGCCACTGATGTTGCTAAACGAATTCTCGCCCGAGTACAGTTTCTAATTAACCCAATTACATTTCCTGTGGAAGTATGCCCTCAGGGTTTGTGTGTATAATGGATTAAACCACAGTCAGGTTTAAGACTGATTCGTTTTTAACGGTTAGATGAGTGTTATTGAGCAATTTGTGACAGTGTAATCCACAGAAAGGCAATTGCTGACTGCTGGGCCGCGAGCTCTGAGGAGGGAAACCAGTGTGGTGTAGCCGTCAGAGTGTTGGAAAACTTGGCTTTGAATCTCTGTTCCCCATGTTCACTGGGAGACCCAGGACCAGTCATTCTCTCTCTCTCTCTCTCTCTCTCTCTCTTTGCCTACCTCGTAGGGTTGTTGTGAAGAGAACGTGAAGGAGGGGGAGAACTATGCATGCTGCCCTGAACTCCTTGTGTGGTAAAAAAAAGCAGGATTTTTTTTAAAAATGTAGTAAACAATGTAGTAAACAGTAAAATGTAGTAAACAGCCTGTCACCAAGTGGCCAATTTTTGGAACAGTTACAGAAACTGAGGGCATCTTATTTGTTTACGTCATTTGTACCCTACAGTTCTCCCCTGAACTCCTTGTGGGGTGAAAAAGCAGGATTTTTAAAAAAATATAGAAAACAGAGATTGCCCCGTCACCAACAGGCCAATTTTTGGAACAGTTACAGAAACAGTAGTTGTTGTTCAGTTGCACAGTCGAGTCTGACTCTTTGCGACCCCATGGATCACACACCATGCCAGGCCCTCCTGTCCTCCGCCGTCCTCTGGAGTCTGTTCAACGTCATGTCTGTTGCATCGGTGACACTGTCTAACCATCTCATCCTTTGCCGTGGGCTTCTTCTGTTACCTTTAATCTTTCCCAGCGTCAGGGTCTTCTCCAGTGAGTGCTCCAGTGAGTGCTTAGAAAGAAATTTTGGCACCAATTCTTGCTGCTGGTTTCTTTGGCTAGTGACTGGTTGCCCATTTGTACAGCCTGCATATCCTTCTGAGGGATGTTCTTCTCAGATGTGTATATCCTGGTTGTATTGAAAATTATATCTGAAATAACTTGTAATAGTCTTAACTGAAGAAGAATTTTGAAACAAAGTTATTAATATCCGGAACCTTCGTATCAACTCATCGGACTACTTACCTGCTTGACCTACTTAACGCTTTATAGCATCTATGTATTATTCTTGTGCTTGTTGTATTTGATGGCTTTGTTATTCTCAATTTAACATTCTCATCCATGTCATATATATTACAATATTGTATTTATTCGTTTCTGCTACACTCAGCGTCTTCTATTGTGCACAGCTTTGCTTATTTTTTCATTTTTTTGCTGTGTAGTCGCTTACTGTTTAAGTTCACAGAATCAGCATTGCTGTCAGATGGCCATCTAGCCTCTGTTTGAAAACTTCCAAAGGAGGAGAGCCCACTACCTCCCGAGAAAGCCTGTTCCACTGAGAATTCTCTCTGACAATCCTCTTACAAAATTGATCTTGAGTGTTTGCATTAGAATGAGGAGCAGTCTGGACTAACTATATCCCAAATCTGTGACTGTGTGAGGTTCCACAGCCAACAGTACACGCTTATCAGAAAGGTTATACTTTATTGCAGAGCTATAGAGGCATTAACATAGTCACTGTTAAGAATGGCAATGGTCCTACAAGCATAATGGGATATAGGGTATTCGTATGCACCCCCCCTTTCCATAAGCAAATTAGCCAGGCTCCCACACACGGGAGAAGGGTCCCCAGGCCATTAGAGGCCGCAGCTGGGAACCGAAAGCGCTCCCACGGTTCCAGGCATCCCAGACACTACACCAGCAACCTGCAAGGTCATTGATAAGCAAGCAGTACAGAAATAAAAGTAAAGAAGCAGCATCTGGCCCAAATAGGAAGATAATTTAAAAAAAAAAAACCCATCATGGCAGCATAGCTGACAGACTGTAAACCCCGAAGACCTTCCTTTGCGTCACTCTAAACCAGGGGTCATTTCGTAGAAAAAGAGGTGCAGGAGCTCATTAGCATAACTCATTAGCATAACTTATTTGCATATGCCACACCCGCTGACATCTCCGGAAGTGTGTCAGAAGGCAACACCCACCGCTCAGGCTCCACTGGACTGTTTTGGATTCCTAGCTTTTTTTTGGGGGGGGGAACGTGCAGAGGAGGGAGAGCTTGTACCTGAATAAAACTTGGTCTTAAAGGTGCCACTGGACTGTTTGGGACAGGGGCGGACGGGGCTCTGCAGCTTACCTGGCTGCTTCTTGCTCTGACTGAGGGCTGCTGGGAGCAGGGGGTGGGACTTGTTGCATGTGCCCGCCCCCTGGGCTCTTTACTGCCGGAGCTTCGCTCCTGTGCACTCCTGCAGGAAATTACCCCTGCTCTTAACTATAGCAGAAGGAGAGATCCTGAGCAGTGCCCTGGCTGTTGGGCTTATACGGTGAAAGATGCTCTCCAAAATTCAGCCCTAGAGGGCGCTCTAGATCAAAATCATCATTTGAATTGAGCCTGGCGTCAAACGACTGGTTTGTGATTGAGAACCAAGAGAATCAGTAGGTGTAGGAGATCAGCCAGACCTGCCAAGCCCCTGGTCAGGGTGGTGGATCCCTCACCCCCAGCTCTTGTTGCCTGCTGCCACTCCAAGTGGTGGCAGGAAAATGGGGGGGTGGGGAAATTACTGATTTCACAAGTGTGATGATGTCACTTCCAGGGAGCACTCAGAAGTGGCAGTGGTAGCTTCAGGAATCAGTGAAAGCTCTGTTTCTGGTGTTTCCTAGAGCTACTGCCGTCGCTTCCAAGTTTTCCCTCTGGAAGCGATGTCATGAGATTTGCGAAGCTGCCGCTGCCACCATGTCCCTGCCCCCGACCCTCTCGCAGGTTGACCTGGCAACCTTAAATTAAGGAGGCAAGAATCAAGAAAAAGTAGGAAGGCACATATGTCACCTGGATATTCCACAAGAAAAGTGGTCCTTTTGTTTGCCTAGAAAGCCCCTTTCTTTAAGGAGGCAAGAATCAAGAAAAAGTAGGAAGGCACATATGTCACCTGGATATTCCACAAGAAAAGTGGTCCTTTTGTTTGCCTAGAAAGCCCCTTTCTTCTAAATCCCCAACCTGGACTTCCACATCTAGATCCTACCTCCCCTTTTCCTTAGGAATTAGTACCTCCCAGATGCATGAACAGCTAGGGCTTCCTGTAGGTGGTTATCTGTGGCAGTGCCAATGGTGCCTACTGGATCCTTGGCCGACTCGTGAAACAGATCTATGGAGAAATTGCACCCTGAGTCATTCACTTCCCACCAGTCTGTTGTGTAGTTGTTGCGCAGGTCTGCCCTGGCTCTTGCATCTGTTGTGTTTCAAGTCTCTGGACAGATTTTGCAAAGAGGAGCTAATTTCTTCCCCCTTTTCTTCATTCCGCCTAGATCCGAAGACGCCGTCCGACCCCTGCTACCTTGGTCCTGAGCAGTGACCAGTCTTCACCAGGTGAGACCAGACATGTACCTGACACACAAACTCTCATGTTCAGTCTGCTGTAGGGATATGCAGATACTCCCTGCTAGTTGAGATTCGTTTGATGTTTACAAGGTTTTGTTCCAAATCCTGGCGAATTTCGAATTTCGGCAGCACTTTGAGGATCCAGGAGTAAGGAGAGACCGCCCCTCCCTGTTCCACCAAAAAGACTGGGGGGAGGCAATAGAAACCCCTTCAGGGTTAACTCTTTGCATGCTGTGGGGAAGTGGGATACATGCTTTACTGCACACACAAAGCAGGTTTGGAAGAAGTTGTAATCCTTCTGGTTTCTCTAGCAACATATGGCTTCAAGTTTCAGGAATCCCTGAAACTCGAGGCCAAAGAAGTGCACATCTATGGGACTTAAGCAGATCTCGGTGGTGGTGGTGGGGACTCCCATAGATCAGGTTTCCAATCTGAACAGCAGTCAGAGGTGTGCACAAGAACTCAAGATTTGACTGTGAAGACCATTTTAATCACATGTGTATGGGTAGGTGTCATAGGAGGGGTCCACTATAAAGAAGCTGGAGTCTGGTGATGTCACAAGGGGTGATCCCTTGATGTCTTGGTGATGTCACAATAAAAAGCAGTACTAATAGTAGTACTCCCAAACACTGGCAGGAATTGTATTGCCTGGCACCTGGGAAGATGTGGAGTCACCATCGTGTGACTTTGGAGAGGTTATTTAGCAGATTGCAAAATAAGGAATTACACGGGCCTTAACCGTGTGCTAAATGTAAAACAGAGCTGAGCTGTTAATGCCAATAATTCTCCTCCTGTCTTCAATTGACTTGTGCAGTAATTAGCGCAAGCATAGAAGAAGCCTTAGAAGAAGCCATACTGTATCTGCAATATGTCACACCCATCGGTTCTCCGGGGAGAAGGGATTTGCTTATGATCATAGCAGGAGTCTCGCCTGTTGATTTAATTAGCGTGCCTGCCTTCTTCTCTCGTGAGATGTTGCCGGGCAGAAGACTGCAGAGCAGAAATTCAGAACGGTGTCGGGAAAACTGGGGAGAGTGCTAAATAACATCGACCTACAAAGCACACCTTCCAGTATAGAAATTATCTTCTAATACCAGATCGGTAGGTGCATATGGTTTAGGATTGCTAACCTCCAGGCTGGGCCTGGAGTTCGCCCAGAATTACAACTCATCTCCATACTGTCACGCTCAGGGTCGCGCCCAGGTCCAGAAAACCCAGTAGCCATGTTGAAATTTGATAGAGGAAACGAGTGCCTCAGATTTGGAAGTGCTGGGGGTTATGTCACACCCCAGCTGCCTTCCTCAGACTGACCTTCTTTCTCTCTGTGTTGCCTCTAAGATCAGTCCTTCATTCCTCCCCGGCACTCGTCAGTTTCCTCCTTTATATATCCCCGCTCCTCCCCTTAGTGCCAGCCCTTTTAGGTGATTAATAATCCTATAGGCTGTACCACCCATCCATCACTGTGCTCTCCTATCTCATGGTGCTTCCTCCTCATTAGGCCCGCCCTCCTGTATAACCCGTTCTTCTATCCCGTAGCTGTGTATGTGAGGGATTGCCCACTTCCGGTCTATGCGACGGGGCTAACGCCAGCGTCCTCGGCGTCAGCACTTCTCAGGGGTAAGGCTGGAACCTGCCACCTGTCCCGCTCCTTCAACCGGGCCCGCCCCCCTTCGCATCTCACGCCTGTCCCAACGCAGTCTGTGCCAGTCCGTTCTCCCAACCTCTCCCCTTCCGGATTTTTCCATCCCCGTAGTGGGCGTTGAGGGAGGGGTTTGGGGTCTCAGGGAGTTCCGAGCCCACCACTCTTCCCTGGGATCAGTTCCCCAGGACAAAATGGCTGCTCTGGAAGGTGGAGTGTGTGGCATTATATGCTGCTGAGATCCCGCCCCTTCCAAAACCCCACGATATCTAGGCACCACCCACAAATCTCTAGGAATTTCCCAACACGGTGTTGGCAACCCTAATATGGCTGCTGTGTCATGAGGAAAAAAGCCCTCTGCACATGGCCAGGGTATTTGCTGCTTCTGTATTCAGAGAAGAGATTATTCCTGGCCCAAATGTATTTAGGTCTTCCCGAGGACTTTGTTTTTCAGCCGCAAGAGGTGGTGGTATAAAAGCAAGCAACAGCACGGATGCCAGGGACGAACGCTTCACTACTCAGCAGCTGTGTTTCCCCAGGTCTTCGGAGCCATGTGCTCCCCTGTTGACGCAAACGGATCTTTTTCTGTACTAGATGGGTAGAGAGCTAAGAAGGGGACCAAAGTTCAGCTGTCTTTCTGCTTCCCTGGTGAAGGTTTCGTAAGAGGTTGGGCTGCGCTTGAACATGTTCACAGTGCGCTTGAATGTGTTCACAGTGCGCTTGAACGTGTTCACCTTCCCCTTCTGACTATTTTTGATCCACCTTCCCACAAGGTTTGCTTGCCCATTTTCGTATCTACCCTCTCTTGCCCTTACTCTCAGTTGCCTTCGTGCCCTGAATCTGATTGGCTGTGTTGTAGTGTGGTGAGATTCTCCCTGATTGGGTAGAGTCACTCATGTGATCTGTCCAATTGCCCTAATTGACGGGGTGGACTTGGTGATTCTGAAGACCTGGGGGAAAGTCCAGCATGGGGCCACAGAATCAGATGTTTTCCGCACAAATGGGTCTCCCCGCTCCTGCATTTGTAGTCCTCCGCCTCTTTCACTTGTTTCCGCAGAAGTATTTGCAGTCCGAGGTGCAAAAACGCAGTTTGTCCTCTCTTGCGGCACAGCATCAGACTTCCCTGTTGTTGGGAATTCCCTTGCTGCACCACAAGAGCCAGTTTGGTGTAGTGGTTAAGTGCGCAGACTCTAATCTGGAAGAACCGGGTTTGATTCCCCACTCCTCCACTTGCAGCTGTTGT